GCCCTATCTTGGTAGGGTCTGGCAGGGGCAGAAGGGGGACTGGTCCAGGCATGGGTCCCCTCCCCACTGTTCCATGGGCACCTCTGCTGTACTGATATCACTAATAAAGTCTGTCTGCCCTGCTAAGCTGTGTGCCTTCCTGTGCCTGCACCATACCATCACCCCCAGTACCCTGATCCCTCAGTTAGGATTATATTCCCAAAGCCCCCTTCCCCTTCCTCCTTGAAAAAAAGAAAGTGGGACACTTGCAGAGGGGTCTGGAGTCCAAGTCTCTTATCTTTATTTTAACGGCCTGACAACCAGGCAGCAGCAGTCCAGGGTTCCTGGCTGGCCAGCACAGGCCTGGGGTGAGAGCTCCTGTGTGGTCTGCTGCGGCAGGACCAACTTAGACCTTTGCTCCATAGTTATGAAAGGCAGCAGTCCCAGGGCAGCTGAGATGCTGGGCACAGAGCAGCCACCCTCTCTCCTGTATCTTGCCAAACCAGCTCCATGAAAGAAGGTCCTGTTTCCCCGGTGTGCTTGGGGCTCAGGGATAGGGTTTTCCACCAGATGCTCTTCTTACCACAGTTGTCCTCTGGAGTTTTTGCAGCTTTCCTCACATTTGCACTTTCACAAATCTGGGCCATGGGGGTACTAGCAGAAAGATGGCCTTGGCTGCAGGCTCTGGACATCAGGGAGGCTTCCATCTGGCACCAGATGGCGACATAGAGCAGGGCTATCCGAGCGAGCTGAGAGCTGGGCGCACAGTGTAGTCAGGCGGCAGGGCATGCCACAGGGCTCTGAGGGGGGGTGGCCCTTATGGTAGAGAAACCAGAAGGTCTGGAAAAGTTGTGTGTCACCCCTCATGCGGTACACCAGATCATGCCAGGCGGCAGGCAGTGCATTGGGCAACCCGTAGGTTTCTCGAGCTCTATAGAGACGCTGCCAGTGTGGTATGGCTCCTGGCTCATTAGCCTGTGTCAGGTTCAGGATGTAGGTCTCATGATCTAGGACCACATGAGAGCTCCCCGGATAGTTGCCATCTATTTGGTAGACCCGGTAACCTGCAAGGAGGGAGGGCTGACTGGAAAGGGAAGGAACCAAGGCAACTCCAGGGAGAGGTCATATGTCCCGCCTGCCCCTTGCCAGCCATGGCCCCAACTCTGTTTCTGCTTCCTCTATCTCAACAACTCCCACATCACTCACCAGGATTAAGGCCGATGTAGGTGGTGGCACTGGGTGCCAGGAAGGCTACAGACAGTGGCCGGCTCAGGGTCTCCTCATCATAGAATACCTCAAACTCATCCACGTGGGTGTGGCCAAAGAACTGACCAGCCAAGGTGTTCTCATACCTGGCCAGAAGACACTAATTAGATTCAGAAGGTTTTAGGGACAGGGAAGAAATCTGGGGAGATGGGATGCTTTCTTTCTCCACACATTGAAGTAAGTAGCCTCTCTACCCCAAAGGGGCACCAGGAATGATAAAATACCCAAAGGAGTTTTCAAATGAACTTCAGACTCTTCATCTACCCCTCTTCTCCCCACTTCCCTCCTACCTGGCGACAATTCGATAATAATTCCAGCTCCAGCTTTTCAAGCAGTGCCCTGGGGGGATGTGGCCAATTATATGTACCTGCAGGGAGAGTTAAGGGAGGTTATCAGGGAGAATGCCCCTCTATTTGCTAGATGGAATGCTGCTTGATTCATCAATTGTTCAATAAGGCCAATTAGAACTTGAAATTTGGGGGGAGGGGAAGGAAGGTTATGAGGACAAGGAGGGGTCCAGGCAGCCCTGGCCAGGAGAGTTGGTACTCATCACTCTTACAACAGCTGTTACAGCTGGCCAGACACGGGGTGAATGAGAGCTCCTAAGGGGGACCAGGAGCTGAACTCCTAGGGAATCCTATTGTTGGAACTCCAGAAAACCAGGCTTCTCTGCTCACAGATGCTCTGGCTCCAGATAGGAGTATGGTCATAAAGGGCCTGCTTCTCCCCGCCACCCCCATGGAGCACCTATCCACCATGTTCTCACCACTTTCCCTCACCTTGTCTCCTCGATCCTCAGCTGCCTGAAGCTCTCCTACCAGCCACTGGAGCTGTCCAGCAGGATCTGTGGAGTTGATCAAGAGCCAGAAGTTCTCACGGGAACAAAAATTCATATTGAGAGAGATGAGGCGGAGGCCAGGGCGTGGGGATAGGGCATAGAACCCCCCAATTCTGAAACAAAGTGAACACAAACAGTCAGCACTCATTCATAATCCTGGTCCTGTGCTCACAGTCCTATACTAAGCATTTGGGTGGAGGGCAGAAGCATACGGGACATCATCCCTACCAAGGGGCTCACATTCCAGCAGAAAACCAAACAGCACCGATTACAGGGTCCATATGACTGGGCAAATGGCTCAGAAAGCTAAGGGCTCTAGGCCTCAGAGATAAAAGAGAACTATAATGGGAAGCAAGGGCCATTCAGAAGGAGTATGATCTGGACCTGGAAAGTTGGGATGTTAAAGTTGCAGGGGGAGGGGAGGTGTTTTAGAGGGCCAACATGAACAGACACAGACTAGCATGGAGAAAGTATGCTGTCAATCCTGAGGGAGAGTGGCTGGACAGACATAAGGGCAGAGGTGGAGTAAGGGGTCAGAGCCAGTGAAGAGAGCTGAGGACTCATGCTAGAAGAGTCACAGGTATGCCCAGGTCCCCTGCTCCCTTCACTATTATCCACTTTCTTTTCCCTTCCTGGGTTTCCATGGACCTCAACTACCTGAGGGTGTGAAGGGCTTCAGGAGGGAGCCAGGACTCCCATGCCTTGGCCATTGCCTCATAGAGCCAGCTGGAAGAGTGATTGCCCTCTATGAAGGGGGGAGGGAAGCCATTGACAGGTGTGCTCTCATGGTTGCCCACAGCAGGGTACACAGGCACTGGCCCCAAGAACTTCTTCACAAGGGCTGTGACAGTGGTCAGGGCCCGAAGCTGGTCCTGACGTGATTGGTGCCAGATATTGTGGGCGGGGATGTCTCCTGTCCAGTACACCATATCAAAGGGGCCGGCAGGGCCCAGCCCGCTCAACAGGCTCTCCAGGGTCCGCAGGGGCAGGTCACACTTGCTGTACTCGCCCCAGTATCCAGCACCTGGGCGGGAGGCAGGTGGCAGGCCAGAATCCTGGCGGCAACACAGTGGGTTCTCACAGTCAGGATCTGTGCCCTCCAGGTAGTCATGATCCCAGTGCAGGTCAGTGAGAAAGAGGATGCGGCTGACAGGGGCGCCTGGGGCCGGGGGCTTGGGTGGTTGTGGGGCCGGCTTTGGTACAGCTGGCAAAGAGATGTTCCAAGATGAGAAGACGTCCCAGTGCCCACAAGTGGAGCCCAGGAGCAGACCACAGGCCTCAGATGGGCTCAGCACTGAGCGTGTCCACACCTCCACCACATCATCTTCAAAGAGCTGGACAGTTGACTGGCACACAGCGGGTGGTGCTATCTTCAGCAGTTTGCAGAGCTTGGTGGCTATGGAGCCCACCCACTCCACACCGGACTCCTTCTGTGGTGGGAAGAACCAGTGATGAGAGGTCAGAGACAGCACAGGGACCAGGCCAACCCCTGGCTACCACCATCTGTGCCTTCATATCCAAACTGGGGCCAAGCCAGACTCAATGCCACTGTGGTGAAGAGACCTCAGAGCACCCCCTGACTCCCACAGATATTGCCCTGTGACTCAGGCAGCACCAGGCCAGTACTTCCTCTTCAGCTCAGTAGGCAGTGGCATTTCAGGCCTTTTGCTTGCCTGGCTGGCTTCCTCAGTCACTGTCTGCAGAGTGCCTTGAAATTCGGGCTGGGCAATATAGCTGTCCAGAGTTTGGGGACACACACAAAGGCAGGTTCCCTGGGGAGACCTGCAAAACTCACCTACCAACCAGCATTCATCATCCCATCAGGGTCAGGGCAGCCCCATCTACTCCCACACCCTTGGATCTTTCTGAATTGAAGTCCCTTCTGAGCAGCTAGTACAGGCATGGTGCTCCGGATTAGCGATGCCAAATGTAAGGCACAGGGGGATTCAGAGTCAGATATACCAGGAAAGGAGTCCCAGCCTTGTCGCCAGCTATGTGCCCTCGGTGAAGTTACTTCACCTCTCCCAGATGCTCTTCATTTGGCAAATGGAGATACTGTAATGAAAACACCTCACAGACTTGACTTGACCTGTATAAAATGGCTAGCACAGTGCCCGGCATATAATTTGAGCTCTTTCCTTACTTCACACGGTCACAATGGAGGTAGTGGTGGCGTGTAGACATGGGTGTCCCTAAAGGAGAGCAAATCCGGTAAAGGCTAGTATCCTCCAGCCTCTTCGTCAGGGACGCTCTTCATGACCCCAGCCCCAGCCCATCCACTCCCCGCCCCCGCCCCCGCCAGCGCTCCCTTGGCTGCTCCACTGCAGGCCCTTTAAGCGCTCACCTTCAGCCCAAAGTCGATAGCGGTGAACAAGCTTTTGCAAACTGGGCAGGTGAGGTTCCACCACCCAAAGGCGTCACGGAGCTGGGGCACTAAGCGACCGACGTGTTGGCTTTGGACGGGAAGAGGGTGGGCCCCTGCCGGGGCCCAGAGAACCAACGCCAGAATCAGAGGCAGGCCCATCCACAGAAGCCTCAGTCTGGGGGACCCTCGGGTCCGGTCCGATTCCTGCTCCGGGCCGGACCTGCGGTGGCCCTGGCCGGGAGATACTCCATGGCGGGGCATTGCCCGGCTTCCTAGACAGGGCTGGTTCACCCCTCCGGGTCCCCCGGGTCTTGGCCCTGGCTAGCTCTCAAAGCGCGGGGCAAGACCAGGGACGGCCGACGAGCCCCCGGGGCAGTCGGCTGACTGCTCCGCGTCCAGCCGCAAGGCAGCTCCGCCCCTTCCTCTTCCTGGGTTCCCCAGCAGCCGGGATCCGGGTCGGCGACGGAGGCTGAGGGGGCGGAGCGTACCAGGACCCCGCCCATGCCCCGCCCCGGCTCTGACCGGACTGCGCGCGCAGCTGAGCGGAGGGAAGCTGTGTGCGCCCTAACCGCGGGAGGTCGCTGTCGTAGCCCTTGTACAAGCTGTGGAGGCAATCAAATGTGGCTGGTGAAAGGCTCGCGGAGGCTCCTAGGCGCCTGCTCTCTTCAAACCTGGACTAAATTCCTGGAATAGCTAATTGCCAGGCCCACCTGGCACACTACAGGCCCACCACAGGGAAGGAAATCTGGGGAACAGCACGCCCTAATAGGGCAGGGATTCTCACACTGAGGTGTTGCCTCTGCCCTGAGAGCGCCTCCCCTCCATCTCCCCTGTTCTGCCACAGGCACCAGGACCCTTGAGTCACCCTGACTGAGAATCTTTGAGTCACATTTGATGCAGAGTTCCTGATGGAAAGGGCTCTGAACTTGTGGGGACACCCATACATTTACCTTACAGATGAGGAAACTGTGGCTCAGAGATGGTGAAGTGACTAAAAAGGAGTACAGATCATACAGCGAGGAGGACCAGGAACATGAACTAGAACTTGGGTGTCCCTTGCATCTATGATGGTGAAAGTAACATTTACTGAGCTCTATGCATGTTCCGGCACGGATCCAGACACTTTATAGTTACTATCTTCAATTGGAACAACCCTAAGAAGTAAGTATAATACTATTATTACTTCCATTTTGCAGATGGGGAAAATGAAGCATGGGGAAGTTAAGTGGCAGGACAGCAGTTAAAACCTGAGCTGTTTACCTCCTCGAGTGCTTCTCCAAGATCCACAGAGCTACCAAAGTCCTGTCAGTTCTTTCCTTTGAGAATTTCTTTTTTTTTTATTAAAAAAAAATTTTTTTTAACGTTTTATTTATTTTTGAGACAGAGACAGAGCATGAACGGGGGAGGGGCAGAGAGAGAGGGAGACACAGAATCGGAAACAGGCTCCAGGCTCTGAGCCACCAGCCCAGAGCCCGACGCGGGGCTCGAACTCACGGACTGTGAGATCGTGACCTGAGCTGAAGTCGGCCGCTTAACCGACTGAGCCACCCAGGCGCCCCTCCTTTGAGAATTTCAAGTGACTCTTTTCCTGAGTTCATCAGGGCATCTTCTCAGAGTAATTGTAGTGTAATAAGTATATTTGGTCTTTGTCTCGAATTCCTGTTCAGGGCACTGAGCTCCTAAAACCCTTTGAATTTCCTGGGTGATTGAGTGCTTTTGTTATTTATACTACCCCTTTTCAATCACACCTAAATTTATGCTAATGAGCCTGAAGATGGGGCTGGTGACTTAAAGACAAAGTGATTAGAGGGTGAGAAATTTCAGCTCCACCCTTAACCTACAGGGAAGGGAGGAGTGGAGATTGAGCTCTTTATCTCTTTGATAGTTTCCTGTTGGTGAATTTAAGGAGTTGCTAGTAGGGTGGCACATCTGGAGAGCACATGGCAGCTTCATG